ACCAGGAGGGCAGGCAAGGAATGCCCCCGTCACTGCTCATCCAAGTTTCAGTTATACAAGCCAGATCTGCATCCTCCTCCAGGATAAGATATTGGATAAGCTGGGACTTAATTGAATACAGAGCTGGCATTCATCAATACCAGTTTTAGAGTGGAGGGGTGACTGAGCTGGCTACCTCAAGCTTGACAGGTGGTCACAGAGCCAGAACAGTAGATAGCCTTCAAACATCTGTCCACCGTTCTTCTGGAACAAGCGTCAACTGTCTCAACGCCATATCTCCCTCTACCCATAATCACCCAAATATTTAGATGTCCTCAGCTGGGGGGGGCAGCCTTCAACTCCTGTCAAAAAAAGAACAGGAAGAAGAAAGGAAAAAACCTAATGATTAAGCAAAATTACAAATAATGCAATTATAAAAATAAACAAAATTAATCAAAAAACATAAAAAATAAATAAACAATTTGCAAATTAAATTGATATAGAATAGGAGGAAGAGAAGATAAATCAGAAAGTAATAGAGCAATAAAACATTAAAAAGCAGAATTTCCCCCCTACCCCAGACCACTCCCAAACTGTGCCTAGTTGTCACCACAGGTGGAATGGCCAGCCCTTATGGTGGATGTTGCAGTCACCGGTGTGGAAAACACACGGCACCTCGGGCACCAGCACTAAGCAGGTTTATTTGGTCCCCCATCCCCTGCAGAGGCTCTGATTTCCAATGAGTCTGTACGCCACCAGATGATGATCTGTCCATGACAACAGAACTACAGAGACTTCTTCCACACCCAGATTGCCAATGTTTGCCCCAGTACATCAAACCAGTGTGCCCTGCAGTGTGAGTGGAAGCAAATGCCATTTGGGACAGACCCATTGTCGTCATGGAGGACATAAAGTTCTGAGCCACTCATAACAAAGCTGTCTTGGCATGGATGTTGAAGTCCCCAGCACAACAAGCCTCGGAGATGCCCAACACCATCCCCAAGCCCAACTCAGCTAGCTTAGGAAGGGAGACTGTTGAGCAGCAGGGTAGGTGGTCCACCAACAGAATCACTATTCTGTCCCAGGCTCCCACTTTCAAATACACACATTCAAAAACAGAAAACTGGGGGATGTGGTGCTTGGTGAGGGGAATAGAATGATAGACCACTGCAACCTCACCTCCCTGCCCTCCCAGGTCTGTGCTGCTGCACAGAGAACCCTGGTGGGCAAAGCTGAGAGAGAGTGACACCCCCAGCCTCATCCAGCAAAGCCTCTGTGGTGGAAGTCAGATTGGTCTGCTCATCCAGGATCAAGTCCTGGATGGCCGTTGTTTTTCCATTTATAGATCTTGCATTTAGCAGCAGCACTTTCAACCCAGGGGGCCTGCAGATGGAAGACTTTTTTTTTTTTGAATGGAACAGTTTTTCTGTCAGTGGATTGACAGCAATTTTATACAACACAGTAATTTTTCTATAGTAGAGAATAAAGATGTGCATATAAAAAGCAGTTTTTGTTGAAATATGTTGACCTTGTTGGGTATGTGGGTAGGAAATATGAATGCCCAAGAGGAAAAACTGGAAATAAAAAAAATCCAAACCACAAAAATCCATACTTTCCCTCATTTGTTTCCAAAAACAAATTGTTAGTTTTTCCAAGGAAAAAGTTGCAAACTTTGGGGAACCCAGAAACGTACACCAGTGAAATACTATCTTTTTTAGGATGAGTGATGTGCCCTTTAAAATTTTACTTGCTGAAAATGCAAGATACATGCTGCATAGTACAAGGGCTTGTGTGTATGACAGTCTACATAATTAGAGAACGGCAAGTCCTGTGCATAATGTAGACAATTTGGATGTTCTGGATGGTATCAGCGTTTTGGATGGCTTCAACTTACTACTGTGCTCATTCTTCTTACAAACAAGTTCCCATGCTTTCCTGGTAACTTAGGCATGGAAAGACAAAGACTTGCACTTTGAGTTGCACCTGAGAACAGTTACAAACCAGTGTGGGAAATAAGATGCTAATGTAATATGGTCGTATAATGGCACTTCTAGGTGCCATATTCCATACCATGGTGGAATGTTTCCACTTTCTTTCTTTCTTTCTTTCTTTCTTTCTTTCTTTCTTTCTTTCTTTCTTTCTTTCTTTCTTTCTTTCTTTCTTTCTTTCTTTCTTTCTTTCTTTCTTTCTTTCTTGTGTTGCACAATTTAAAAATATGGATGTATATGAAATATAGTAAAATTCAAATGTTAAGATAATTGGGTTCTTTTTTTACCAGAAATTGGCTACTTCAGTGGCATTATCTGAGCCATTTGCTAGATCTTTCTTTAAACACTTGATGAGGCGTAAATTGCATGCAAATAAGTGCTGCATTGATTTAATTGCTCAGTAGTCACAGAAAATATGTCCTGTATCCAAGTGGCCCCATTTTATGTGATTATTCTGTGATCTTCCTACTTCACTTCAGATTCTATTAAGTCAGCGGTCCCCAACCTTTTTGGAACCGCGGACCGGTTGGGGGGTGGGTGGGCTCTGTGTGTGGGGTGGGGTGGGAGAATAGGTTAAATCTTAGGGTCTGGACAGTTTAATATCATTCATTCAAAGTTGAAGAAGCCATTCCTTTTTGTTTTGCTCGAAATGTTTAATTTGCTCTATTCAGATATAATTGAGTTCCATCACTTGGGCATTCCTACATCTTCTTACTGATTCCTCTCGTTTTGCCAATATGAAGGCAATAGAAAGTTCATTGGATTCACTCTGATTACCCCTTTGATGTTTTATTTTTATTATGCACTGATTGGTCTTCCCTGCCAGGAGCAGTAGGTATGCTATTTGGTGAGGGGTTATACTTGCATACAGTGACCTTTTGTTTGGATTATTGTTCAGTCTTTTCAGTACTCTCCAAATGTCTACTTTCCATTCCTTTAAGGCACATTACAAACATGACCTTGTGTGATGGCCTTGTTAACAGTGAAAGAGTTGATTTTCTCCACTGCAGCTGGAACACCAACTGAAAATAGGCAAAGCACTTTATGCAGAGCCATCATGTGAGGATAATCAAACTGTTTATATGGTTGTTTTAGAAGACGGGTGTCTCCATCCACACTCGTTCTTCCAGGATCAACTCTCCCATTTATAACCCTCTGTTCTGTCTTTGTCTGGAATGAACTTCAGCTCATTAGGCCACATCCAATTATTCACCAGTTTCAGGCATTGTTTCAGGGTTTGCACAGTTTCCTTGGAGCAGACTCAGATGGAAGTTGAAGTAGAAGTTGATCAGCACCTCCAGATTCCATATATATGTTGAATAAAATGGCCAGCAAGAAGAAGTTTTGCTAGTCTCCAGAAAGTAGGAGCCATAGGGACAAAATTGGAAAAACTCCCAATTCCACCATCTATTGCTTGAACTTCGAAAGATCAAAAACACCACAAAATGTTGCCTAGGGAACCCATAGGATGAATTGATTTGTCAGTAATACTAACAATTTGTGTCCAGTACTCTGGGACTGGGTCTAAATCCTACTGGCATAATCTATGTCTGGTGTTGTGAATGATTCTGTTGTACCAGTAAAAAGTTTTCTTCTGAGATCTTTGTGAACTGAAGAGAATTGGAGGAGAAGGAAGGGAGATTTCTCTCTACACATGGGCTTTTTCAGAAGCAGTAAGGGACTCTTTGTACCTTCCGTAAAAGTCCATCCTGAAGGTAGAGAGAGATGTCCTCCTTTCATGTGGCTGGAGAACTCAGGAGGATGGTTTCTTTCCATTCTTCCTGGGCTTGATTGGTCACTGTGACCACAAATAATGACAGACTGCCAAAACAAGCCTTAAACCAAATATGCTTAGGGCATAGTATTCTAATGATGAATACTATCAGCATTTTAGCACAAAAAAAGTCCATGCTCAAAGGCTATGTTGCCAAAGGGGTATCATTTCTTGATTTCATCCATTTTGTCAATATATATCTCTCAGGGCTTTCTGCATTCTCAAATGTAGTTTCTAGTTTGTCTGCATATGTATATTTCATTTTTAAAAATTTAATTCTGCTTTACTAGAATAATTTTGCTTTGTTTTTGCCTGAAAGCATAACTTAAAAACTCTAGCAATTTAAGATTTAAAATTTGCAAAGTAAAATTCCATGTTAATTTTTAAATCCTAACCAACTTCAAGGAGAGGTAGATAGATGATGCAGTGGTTTGTAAGGTGATATGCTTTCTACACTTTCTTTTTCTTAACATGATACACCTAAACAAGACATTTTAGCCCCCCTCCCCAAGTTGTATTTTAATGAAGAATCTACAACTAGACTCAAACAGTGTTTGCAGTCTAGGTCTGTAGTGTTGTCACCTGCACAGTTCTAAACAGTTTCTCCAGATTTCAGCCACTTCCCATGTACAGGCATTTAAAAATGAAATGAACCCAAAGCAGCCAAAAAAAAAATCAAGAACAAAGCCAGTTCTGATAAACCTTTTGCTTTTTTGTCTTTAGTGTCCTATTTTCTTCTTGCCTTCCTTTGAAGTGTCATACATTTATAAATACATCTAATAAGGAAAAGGTGTCTTTTGTCAATGGAAGAAAAAAAGAAGGTGATTACTTACTTTCTCTCTTGGAATCAAATTCGTACAGATTTTAGGTTTACAAATGTAAAATATATTTGCAATCGTAGAAGAAATAACTTGCTAATGCACGGCTGGGGGAAAACACAGTATACTATGCTGTTTCTGGATTGTTGCCAAAGGATGCAAAGGGATTACTTGTCTGTCATAACTATTACAAAACTCAGCCTATCTAATCTACTGGTATAAAATTGCATTGCAGGCAGCAACTTCATGGGCTCTGTTGCACTTTGTGTCATGTTTGTGTTGAGTAGAGATAGAACCAGCATTCTTCCAGCCCATAGTTTGTACATACATGCTACAGTGGCTTTGTCCCTTAAAAAGAAAAAGTCACAAAGCAAGATGGCGGCTTTCAAAAAATTGTGATGGCTTTTTTAGAGTAGATATATATTTTATTTTGTCTTTCAGAAAATGCTGGGACAGAAGAGATGATTGTTAATTTGCACTGAGGCCTGGAACTGCCTATTGAACAAAAGTCCCGACCAGGCAACATACGAATGGCCCAAGGAAGCCACCAAATTGATTTTCAGGTTTTGCATGACCTGCGCCAAAAATTTCCTGAGGTACCTGAAGTTGTTGTGTCCAGATGCATGTTACAGGTCAGTGCTATGCTGTTACTGTTTTGTAGGTATTTAATGTAGATATTTAAAATTACTTATAAAGGTTGTCCATACTAACTTATGTATAGTCCATGAGTAATTTTTCCCATATCAGCATGTCTATTGCCATTTTTTAAATTTTGCTTTTAGCAGTACTAGTTTTACTGTTGTTATGTTGCACAGCCTTTTGAATAGTTTGGTTTTGCTTCCCAGATTTGTTTGGTTTTGCTTCCCAGATTTTCAGAAACATGTTCTCATTGAGAAGGACCTTATAAAAATCATTTACCACTTCCATAACTCCCTCTTCCCAGTTGGCCAATCTGAAATGCCACTTCAAATGGCTTTCCATTGGCCAGAAGGTACTATTTTTTATTTTTGTTTAACTGGACAATGAGGCTCATGGCGAAGTGGTTAAACTAAGTAAAGACTCTGCTCATGACCTGAGTTCACTTTTGACAGGCTCAGGTGGCAGGCTCGTGATTGACTCAGCCTTCCATCCTTCCGAGGTCAGTAAATTGTGGGGGGCAATGTCTAGCCTTGGTAATCAAATTGTAAACCCACCCAGAGACTGTTTTAAGCCCTATAGAGCGGTATATAAGCAGTGGACTTTAGTGAACCTGAAACTTCAAAAGGTGTAGATTGGCTTTGTAAAATATCATTTAGCATTAATCTTTTAACTCTGGTTTCATTTCAGTGCTGAAGTTTTCCTATGTCTTCTGTTACTTCAGTTTCTGGTTATAATAAGGAAATGGAAATACTTGGGCCATTGTTCTCATATAATATAATGAGGAACTATTACAGCATTCTGTTTCCTTTATTGCTTGCCCTCAGCTAGCCTTGCACATTTATATCAATTTCTTATATGGTTTATAAATAGATATTGTCTTATTGTAGAGTTAATAAGACTTATTAATGTGAACTTTAGTCTTCTATTTTAAATTACTAGTAATGGTCATTTATGGGTCCTTTCAAAGGAGAATGGTGGGACAGAAATACTGTAAGTAAGTAAGTAAGTAAGTAAGTAAGTAAGTAAGTAAGTAAAAATAAATAAATAAATAAATAATGTTTTGTAACATGAAATCTAGTAGTATGTCCAGTGAATCAGTGAGTCACCTTTATGCATTCCATTGATTTGTTGGGCTTACTCTATTTGTGACTTACTGCTGGATTTCAGCCATAATCTCAAGTGTTAGTGTCAGGTTTTGGTTGCCTGAGATTTATTTCAAAATACGTCCTAATTTTTAATGTACTTAGTCTGAAACTGCATAAGGCCATGAGCTGGTTTAAACCTGTTACAGTACTTAGATTGGCAGCTAAAAGGTAGTATAAGGCTCCAATTCATATCTTCTGAAACAGAGCTTCTGCCATTGAAGATATTCAACTCTGAGAGAGAGATTCATTCTGTCTGTCTAGACTTACCTACTGATTGCATAAGGAAAACAGAGTTTTTTCTTTCTTCTGGCTGGTTCACCTTCACATGCATAATGGTGCACTGTTTATGAAATAATACAGATTACTCATTTCATGAAGAGGAGAGAGCAGGAAAGGGGGGGACTATGTAACTGCCTTATGCATGTGGCTTTTAACCAAATGGATTTTGACCACTGAGTTTAAAGTTGGGATGGGCAAATTTTTTGGGGGTCTGGGGGCCAGTTTTCTTCCCCAGAACATTTATGGGCATACAAACTGTCAATAACGGCACAAGGGGTTCCTACCAACCTCTTTAAAAGGCTAGTCCCTGCCGTTCGAGCTGCCAAACATACAGACACCCAAATGGGGCTAGTGGAAAGAAGGGAGGGGCAAAAACTGCCTTGGAGCTGCTCCTCCTATGTAAAGTATTTTGTTTTTGAAAGTAATGTATATTCCTGGATAAACATCTGCATTAACCATAATCAAAAATATGCCATGGCTGAGTAAAACTTATCACACTGTATTACATTTATAATATTACATTGTAATAATATGTAAAATAATAGAGCAAGGTTAATAATGCCACTGAATGTAATCTTAGTTATCAAATCCCGACATGAACCTGATACTTATCTCTCATCTGTCAACTTTAAAATATGCTTTATTGTGGAAAATAGAAAGCAAACCATTGTGTAATAGGATTTGGAATGGAGCTCAGATAATGTATGCTGCTTCTATGTCAAAAGGCATAGGGAAGCAAAATGAGGGAGCATAATCTTCAAATCCAGTGTTAGGTTCTTACGAGCAGCAAAACGGTCTCTCCTTCAGTGCTGGGAAAAGATTGGTGAGGACAGTTTCCTTTTGACAGTTCCCTGTTGTGTGCTCCCTTCTTGAACCCAACGACTCTGTTCAAGAATAGGTGTTATTGTCCTTCTGGTACATGGGCCCTGTGGCATGTTTTGCTAAAGCCAAACTTAATCATACAATGATGAAAGAGGCTTACCAGCACCTACCCGAGACTAGTTAGTGAAACTCTAGTACACATTCTGACAATATATTCCATTACCTCATTCTTTGCTGTGGCAGTCCCTGTCTTTTCTCCAATATTCACCATTCCACACATTCCCTGTTTACCTCTCCTTGCTGTTGAATCATGCTTTTCAAATACTAATATTCACTGTTTATGATTTGTATGTTACTCGTTGTAGCAGCAGTAGTATCAATTTGTAAAACAGAGGTTTATATAACTAGTTACATGTGGGTGTTCATTATTCATTAACTTCGTAGTCATTTATCCATTTACACAACCAATGTCGCTTTAAACCAAATAACAAAATGCTTCTGATTTTGTATAGTATGCTTTTTCTTCTTTCATGCTTTTCTTCCACCTTTACATATTTGCATACAGTGGCACATTTTTGAAAGGCAAGGTTTTTGCTGACCACTTAAATATGTTAAAGCAGTATGATTTCCAGTAATATTTTTATTTTGTCATTTCTTGTAGAACAATAATAACTTGGATGCCTGTTGTGCAGTTCTGTCTAAGGAGAGCACAAAATATCTCTACGGTGAAGGAGACATTGGTTTTTCAGATGATTCTGGGATTCAAAGTTTGCGAAATCACATGACATCCCTTAATTTGGATTTGCAGTCACAAAATGTGATTCTTCATGGAAGAGAAGGAAGTAGAATGAATGGAAGTAGGACTTTGACTCATAGCATTAGTGATGGACATCTTCAGACCAGCCAGTCCAACAGTGAACTGTTTCATCAGGAACCACAGACTGCTCCAGTCCAAGTTCCACAGGGATTTTTTGGCATATCTAATACTGTTAGTACTTCTAATCCAGGGCAGCATTTTGGATTTCACTTGGGCAGCAAAGGAACATCTGGTTTGGCTCAACAAACACCTAGATTCAACCCTATCATGGTAACCTTAGCCCCAAATATTCAACCTGGTCGGAATACCCCTACATCTTTGCACATACATGGTGTACCTCCAATAAACAATCCGCAAGGCAATTCTATCTATATTAGACCTTACATCACAAATCCAAGTGGTACAGCTCGCCAGAGTCAGCAAAATCCAGGCTGGACGTCTCAGTTTAATCCTACGCATTCTCAACAAAATTACCAGCCTTCACATCCAAATCCTTGGACAAATATTCCTACAACCAGTTCTTCACCACATACCTCATCACAATCAACACAGCCAAACCAGCAAGGCCATCAGACCTCCCATGTGTATATGCCTATAAGTTCTCCTACAACCCCTCAGGCACCTACAGTACATTCATCTGGTAGTTCACAATCTTCTTCATCCCAGAGCCAATACAATATTCAAAATATCTCAACAGGACCTTGTAAAAACCAAATTGAAATCAAACTTGAACCACCACAAAGAAACAATTCATCAAAACTACGTTCGACTGGGCCCCGTTCATCCTCAAATTCCTCTTCCGGCAACAGTCAGACTTTAAGTAGAAGTCAGCCTACTGTTTACATAGCTGCCAGCCCACCAAATACTGATGAAATTATCACACGAAGTCAACCTAAGGTCTACATTTCAGCCAATGCTTCTACAGGAGAGGAACAACTTGGGCGGAGTCAGCCTACACTCTTCATATCAACCAATCCAGGAGTTACTGCCACATCTAGGAATATGTCTGGTCAAGTAAGCATGGGACCTGCATTTATTCACCACCATCCTCCCAAAAGCAGAGCAGTGGGCAACAGTACCACTGCCACTTCTCCCCGAGTTGTGGTTACACAGCCTAACACAAAATACACGTTTAAAATTACTGTTTCTCCAAATAAACCCCCTGCAGTTTCACCAGGTGTGGTATCCCCAACCTTTGAACCTACAAATCTTCTAAACCTTCCTGATCACTTTGCAGAAACGGAAGGTATCCAACATCTTACTGACCCTGTTTTAGCACATGTCGATAGGATTAGTGAGACACGAAAACTGAGCATGGGATCTGATGATGCTGCCTATACGAGCGGTAATAATTTTATGTAAGTTGTAGAGAAGTTTGCCTCGTTTTCATTAATATATTTCTTGAATGTATTTACTAGGCTATAAATATATTTTAACACAAATTTTCTCAAGGCCGCTTTTAGGAAATGCTAAAAGCGCATCTATTAAAGGCAGAGTTAGTATCCTATTTACTGGCACACTGAAAAACGTTCTGTGTCAAATAGTATTTACACAGTTGATATTCTTCATAGTTGTGGAATAACTACCATACACTGTGCTCTTTTAAGCACAATGTGTATCACATTAGGGATACATAAATAATTTACTAGCATGTCTTTACTAATAGTACAGTTGGGAAAAAAGCATATGGAACACTATTATTTATAGTAATTACTGTAAGATGTATGGTAATTCATACTAATAGTACAGTTGGGAAAAAAGCATACGGAACACTATTTATAGTAATTACAGTAAGAGGTATGGTAATTCTTATTTGTCTTACAGTGGTGTGCAATAAGATTACATTTTGCTGTTCTAATCACATTGCAGTAATATGGTTAAGACTTCAGTGCATGAAATAAGCACGTAAAGTAACCCTCAGAGTCCATATCTAACTTCCAAGTTAACTATCTTTACATATCAGCCTGATGTGTAAATTTGCAAATTCATTTCATACATCTTGGAAGCTTCCTTGATATGAATATGCACCTACAGTGAGAATTTAATCTCTGTTCTATATTCCTGCTTGGATATTGGCTTTGATGATTTAATGGTTTACCCAAATGTGTTATCTTCTAGAAATTGAACTTTCTTTTGGTATTTAAGTGTGGGCATAGTCCGTTTTATACAAATAGATCAGATTGTAGTTTGGGCATACAGCTGAATTTATGTAAAGTCAGCTTATTCTTAAAAATAGCCTGTCCTTGACATCTGGTTTTCAGACTTTCTCAGCAACTGTGTGCATTTTTGTTTGTTGTAAAGGAGCAGTTATTTGCACAAAACTTCCATTGCACTCACTGCCATACTTTTTTTAAAAAAAATAAAAATCCCCACTGTCCCTCCTTGACAGGGGCTGGACTTGATGATCCATAAGGTCCCTTCCAGCTCTCAAGTTATTATCACATCCAATTTATGCATTCAGTATTTTTAATCACAGTTTCACAGTTGTCTATCTGAGGCTTAAATGCTGTAAATCAGTATAGCACAATTGAATGCATGTTAAAATCTAAGACAGAAGAGGATTGATACAAATCTATTAAAATATCACAAGGCTGTTTGATATCTCATATTAATAACTGAGACTTAACATATTGCAGCCATATTTTATTAGTCTGTTGCTTGTAATGAACCAAACTTACAGATACATTTACTTGTGTAAAACATAGTTGAAAAGTTGAAATGTTTAAGTTAAAACTATTGTATACTTTTTTTCTGCCAGAGGCAGCATTCCCAGAGTGGAGTTCTTTTCATTGAGGGAGATGGTTTTCATTGATTTGACATCCTTTTCAGCCGCTAGCAGCATATTCCAGAGGGTCTCTCAAATAGAAATGTAAACTTTCTTAAATTTTTAGGCCATGGGGAAATAATAAATACCCTCTTGGGAGGAAAAAAAACATTTATGAAATTAACATAATTTCCATTCTTATTTTCATATCAAATATACAGTGGTGCCTCGCTAGACAGTTACCCCGCATGACAGTTTTTTTCGCTAGACATTGACTTTTTGAGATCGCTATAGAAATTCGCAAAACAGTGATTCCTATGGGGGAATTTCACTGGACAATGTTTGGTCCCTGCTTCGCAAACCGATTTTCGCTAGACAATGATTTTGACAGCTTCCTCCGCGCTCGCGGAGGTGTTTTCGGGACCTAAGCTTTGCAAGACAGTGATTTAAACAGCTGATCGGCGGTTCGCAAAGTGGCTTTCCTATGGCCGATCTTCGCTAGACAACTACGATTCTTCCCCATTGGAACTCATTAAACAGGTTTCAATGCATTCCAATGGGGAAATGCTTTTCACTAGACAATGATTTCACTAAACAGCGATTTCAGTGGAACGGATTATCATCGTCTAGCAAGGCACCACTGTAAACTTGTTTTATTTTTTAAAAAAATATTGTAAAATATAAAAGCTTTAGTTCTGTAAAGCAAAATTGTCTATACACTCTATACCAGGGGTCTCCAAACTACGGCCCATGGGCCACATCCAGCCCGCCTTGCCATTTTATGCGGCCCATTCCTTTCAGCCTGTGCGTGTGCATGCACATAGGGGTGCATGTGAGCATGTGGATATCCATGTGGGCAGGTGTGCGTGCGTGTGGGCGGATATCCATGTGGATGTCCATGCAGGCGGGGGGAGGGGTTGCGTACGTTCCTTTGGCTCTCAGTGGAAAATATATGATGTAGTCCTCACACTGAAAAGTTTGGAGCTCCATGCTCTATACTAAAGAGAGCTGCAGACTGTTGCACCTGTATCTTACATTTTACCATCTGAGAAGTAAAAGAAAAGTGAAATCAAACTAAACATCTTGAGTAAACAAAATAAAATGTATCAGTTGGGCAGAGTCTTGTTTCTGTCTTGACTGCTTCCACCAAAAGAAATCAAAGGTCACCAGAATAAGCAGCAGTTTACAAGGAGTGACCGGCACCCTGTATGTTCCTCTCATGAAGATGGCAGCTCTATTTAGGTACAATAAAGGTTTTTGGAATTGACTGTTGTGTGTATGTATGTACGAGGGGCCGGCAATATGACACTGGGGTCAGATGTGGCCCTCAAAGCTTTTTTACTTACTTCCAGCCCTATTAGATTTCCATAACCCCATGGAGGGGGGGGACATTAAGACCCCTGCTCATAAATTGTATTTCTAGAAGCCTCCAAAAGCAGCAGCTCACATTTTAAATAGGTTGCACTCAGTTCACTATATTTAACACTTTTAAAACTGAACTAAATTAAAAGAACGTTGGGGTATAAATAAATAAATAAATAAATAAATAAATAAATAAATAAATAAATAAATAAATAAATAAATAAATAAATAAATAAATAAATAAATAAATAAATAAATAAATGTTTTGTTTTTCCTTTCCACTTTGTCAAAGAACAGCTTGTTAGTATTATATGTATCCCATATACATATGCTTTTATGAAGTTTCAGAAAAAAGGAGAGAATTAGGGAGCAGGCTGATTGTGGACTTTTGCTAAGATTAATAAGATTTTTTTGTGTGTCTTCAACTTCCACTGGAGAGAAGAGCTGTGCCAGATTGACAGAAAGCCTATCCAGTCCAGTATGTTATTCATATATTGCTAACCAATTGCCTGTAGGAAGCCTGAAGTATGAAATAATTGCAACAATAGCAGCAACTTGCCCTAAGTAGAAGATGACATTGTCTCCAGCTGGTAAGGGAGTGAGTATTCTTAGAATACCTGTATCTCAGAACTGTAGAGCTATAAGGAGCCCTGTTGGTCACTGAAGCCAGTCACTGTCAAGGAGGCACAGTGAAGAATCAAACCCGAAACCCCTGGCTCCGCAACCAGAATCCTAGACCACTGAGTGACTAGTGGCTGTTGTCAGTTCCATACATTATGATTTATCCAGTCCTCTTTTGAAATAATTTGGGTTGGTTGCCAGCACTATGTCATATGGCAGTGAATTGTATATGTCTTGAATCTCCCACTGTTTACTTTCATTGGTTGACTACAGTTCTAGTATTTAAGAAAAACAAATATGTTTTCCTACTAGTCTTCTCCACACCATGCATGTTCTACAGTTTCTATAATGTCTCCCTTTAAATTGCCTTATCTTACACAGCCATAGATGTTGTAAGATGTAATCGATACACATCTGGAACTTCCCTTCTTCTGTCTCAAAGACGCAAGATATGTGCATATTGGCCCTTTGTATGTTTGGTTACATTTGTCCTTTGGTATCAAGATGTAATTGGTCATTTATTGCACATATCTTCATCTGTTGCTATTATTGTTGCTTATTGGGTTTGAGGCTGAAATGACTCCCAGTAATGCAGTCAAGTTGCTCTTTGAAGTCAGGTCTCTCCAAAATGTTCCTGCCAGTGTCATCTCTTGTGCTAGCAGGACATCTGTTTAGTACCCTATCCTGTCTAAAATAGGATACTGCTCTTTCATTGGAATATTAACATGTTTCTTTGACTAATGTAATACCTCTCGGAATTGATGATATTGTATTTTTTTCTTCCAAAAGTAGGACAATTGATAATGCCAGTGTCTGAGAGCTTTTCTGACTAAGAGATTAAAACTGAAAATTGCTTAACAAATATTAAGATAGAAGATTAGCCATGTATAGACACTGGTCATAGTTGTTTCTTAAACTTAAAGGAAATACATGAATTGCAATAATGCCACCACTCAAAAGCTCAGAATGGTTTTATTAGGGATTTCTTCTATACCAGTGGTTACCAACTTTGAGTACCCCAGGAGTTCTTCAACTGCAACTCCGAGAGACCGCAGCAGCACAGCTAGCAGTAAGGGCTTGTGAGAGTTACAGTGCAATAACACCTGGGTTATCGACAGATAGGAAACACTAGTATGGATGGCAGCTTTTGCATTCTGTGCCTTGTGTTGAATATAAGGCGTTACAGCTACCAAATGTCCCTTTATTTATTGAGGCTTAAGAAACATCTTCACATTTACTGATGTTAGCTGATATAGTGTGTCTCAGCTTACATACTAATAAGAAACAGATGTATACTGTGGTAGAAAAATGCAGTGTGATGTATGGACTTCCATCAAAAACAACACACAGCTTATATTTGAAACTTGTTGTTGTTGTTTAGTTGTTAAGTCATGTCCGACTCTTCGTGACCCCATGGACCAGAGCACGCCAGGCCCTCCTGTCTTCCACTGCCTCCCAGAGTTTGGTCAAAATATTTGAAACTAGATTTTCTCTAAAAATTATTTTTAAGTGTATTCCTCGATATATAGAATAGTAAGTAGATGGTTTTGAGTGCATTAAGGAAGCTTAGCAGCAAAGAGAGATTCCCAGTGCAGTGTAGTGGATAGAGTGACAGACTACGATACCGGAGGACAGGGTTTGAATCCCAGGTGGCCATGGAAACTCACTGGGGGAGTGGAACTTGCAAAACCACTTCTTAAATATCTCACCTTGAAAGCCCTATTAGGGTCACTATACGTCAGTTCAGATTTGACAGCACAGAACACACAGTGACAAAACACCTGCATATTCTTCCACTGATTGGCATAGTGTAAGTGAAGACTCCCGAAGCACTTTTAAGACTAGCAAGTTCTATTTAGTGTAAGCTCTCATGGCCTGAAGAAGTGTGCTGCAGGCCACAAAAACGTAAGCCAGAAAAAGTTACGATAGCTAGATTCTATTGATTTTGTTCCACCCACTTAACACATCTGTCTCAACATTTCTGTAGGGAAATCATGGACAGTAAATGTTACAAACAAGTGTGAGGCTTGACTAGTATTTCACTAGACAAGTATTACTGGAAAATTCAGAAATTCGTAGAAACAACAGCAACAGTTAATCCATTTCAGCGTGACTTTTGTTTAATAATTACACCTTTTGCAATACAAAACCAAGAGATGGAAAATTCACCTATCCTGTTCTTGCTCTGGATATCATGATTGCTGTTTTTTTCTTCAGGTGTGGCAGCAGTAAACAACAATGTTATGTTGCATCCAAACAGTTTCCCAGCTTCTTTAGCTTCTTCTACCTGTACTTTTTCCATTTGTTTACCTTGAATGATCACTGTGAAAATCTCTCCTTTATGTTTCCTATTACATTACTAAAGTGCCCTTGGTTACTGCTTTTTATACACTTTATGATGTCTATATCTTTATTTATTTGCTTTAGTGCTTCTCAAAACCCAATAAGCTCTTGGTTTTCTGCAATAAATCCACAATGTACCCATTTATAATACATTTGATACAGTCTTAAATACTATGCCTTACAGTAGAATTGAGAAGACATAACACTGTACAATGCATGTTCTCAAAGCAGGTTATCCTTATCTACAATAAAGTCCATCAAATGGGAGTATAGGTGATTTGAAATAAAATCAGTATAAACATGTTTAATAATGAAACAAGCATTTTAGAGGCCAGGATCCTATTGAATATAGTGCTAACAAAAAGGTGGGTCTAATAAAGGTTATTTATTTTTGATTTGACACATAGCCCCTGCATGCCCCCAGTATTTCTTCTGGAAAGCCATAGATCCTTCCAGAGCCAAATTTCTGGTGGTGTGGAGGCAAGGGAGAACCTCTGGTTGCAGTGGTGTGCAGAGAGGGAAATAAAATAAAATGTTCCTTAATCATCTGATGGGGCTTCTCCTGTCAGTGCAAGTACTGAACTTGATCTTACCGTACAAACAGAATCAAGACTAAGTGGTATCTCACAGAATGTCAGCAAGTAACACACTTATGTAAGAAATAGTAGAACAAAATAAAGTACAGTAAATAGAACATGATTCATCCCTGAACATCTTCAGCAGTGGGGAAGTCTCCCATAGATGTATCTATCGGACATAGCATTCATGACTAGCATAAATTCAGTTTAGGTATGGTAGCTGTAGCAAGGCCGAGATGTAGATCTGCAGAGTGGTTCATTTTATATCAAGATAATGAGTTACACTGTATATTTGATCTGGCTTTATAAAGAACTTTTGCAGAGCAAACTGTGCTTGATTTTAAAAAAAAAAAAATTGGGGAGAAAAACTCTGAATGTTTTGTGCATGTTTTGTTCAGAGAGTACAGCAAACTTGATTTTATCATCATCATCATCATCATCATCATCATCATCATCATCATCATTATTATTATTATTATTATTATTATTATTATTATTATTATTATTATTGATCTCTCTACTGCCCACCTGGCTACCAAGGCCACTCTGGGTGGTTCACAACAGAAAATAAGACAGTATTGTTATTGTTGAAGAAATGCCTAAGTATGAAATGAATGTGTTTTTCTTTATTCTAGTGTATTATCAAACAATTCAGTTTTCCATTGTATCAAGTTTGCCTGATTATTAAATAAGAGACTTTTGAATTAACCTTATATATATATTTTAAACTTTGCCTCTAAATTCTAGAATATCATGTCTCAGGAACTGACTCTTTTCCAAATAGTTAACTCTTAATCACTAAGGTGAATAGTTTCTTTTCCCCCAGCACTGTGGTTCTACCTAGAAATTTGATGGGCTAGTCATGCTTGTTGGATCTCATTACTTGGCTCATATACAGTAAAATGGGAATGGCTAGCTTAGACACACTAAACACTGTCTTGCAATAGCACATCATAAGGAAGACTGATAATCACAGGCAAATTATCTTCCAAGAATGTTTATCTGCCATTACTGATTTTTCAATAAGGTATTTCCATAAAATTTCAAGGAATCCCAGACATTGATTTAATGTCTCGGATGTAATTTGCTGTGGCAGACATGAAATTCCTATGATGTGTCTGGCATATCCACATGTTAATCAATATGGCAGATTCTGTGGCTGTGTTCAAATAGAATAATGTATATGCATTCATTTATACTTTCAAGTATATGAAGTATTAGTTTTTAGAGTAGCATGTCTGATCTTAGATGTGTTGAGGATGAGCTTTCAGATTTGCTGGCAGCTTGAGGCCTACCATCCCAAGGGGAAGGGTGTGGCCAAAGGAGCTAATTTTATGTTGTGGAGGTGGCCATTGTATTGGTCCCTCCCCACATTTTGAAGGGCGAAGGGGACCAACCATGCTAGGATCCTAAATAATATTCCTAGGCCACATGTTGCCAGTTCCTGTTCTAGGCAAATGAAATTCTAGTAATAATTTGAGTAGCTATTGCAGAACCAGGATGGATAAAAATCAATACATTTTAAAATCAAATTGATTTAAATCAGATTCACCCTGTCTGGAACAAAGAGACTTCTCACCTAAAATTTCCGGTCCCACTATGGGAGACCACTCCAGTACGTATTTTTTCAGCACAACTTTTTACATACTCTTTTGGCAGTCATGTACTCTTTAAATATTTTTATTATTTACCTCCTTTCTGTGACCATCATTTATTCTAACAGGACTCCAAGTGCTTAACAATAAAATAAACATATGAATTAGAAAAGTGAGGCAACTTTAAAGAGCTATTAAAACAAATCAGTAAAGAAAGAATAGGGTAAAGCATCTGCTTAAATTAAAGCTCCTTTTATAGTAAGTAATTCAGCTGCCAAAGATGTATCAGAATAAAAGGTTTTTGCCGGTTAGCTGAAAAACAACAGGGAAGGTCCAACCTTGTCATCCTTGGGTAGTGATCTCCATAGCCTCAGAACAACCATCAGCTCCTAATCTCTATGAGTCAGTTGGTTCACAATTAACAGTTTGCATATTACAGAGATTGAAAGCTTGCTCATTTTTCTTCTGGTCGATATATATGGCCTATTTTATTTTAATTTTTGGCATTTCCATATTAATTATACTTGCTATTTGAACATAGAAAGTATAGTAGATGTGAGAACTTGGTTAACTTGAAAAAACCAAAGTATAAAAAAGATAACTCACATACAGATACTAATAAAAATTAGTTCAAAATCTAATTCATTTTAGATGCTTGAAAAGTGATATTTTTGTAATCATTTTTTATTTGAGATAATTGCATTTTGTTTTTTCTATATCGGTGGGTCAAAAGTTTCTATTGATAGGTTTTAGAATTCATTGCTATTTACGTTATTTTTGAACAAATACTGGTTTAAATTATTATTTAAAAGAATTGTTTTGTTTCTGTCACCTGAAGGAGCTTACTGACCATATTGCCAGAGGATACAAATCACAGAATAAAATGTTTTCTGTGTATAGAAGGTTGGAAGCCACATTATTGCCTGCAGTTGCACCAGGAGTGTTACATGCAGCTGTGGCAAACAGTCTCATTGTTGACAGGAAAGAGTGAGGAACCATGTTGCAAATCAGTATCTCTTTGTAAGGATTTCATAGGCCTCTTTGACTGGGGAAGCTTTGCACAAGCCTTGAGGCAGATATAGCAGCTCAGGTGGAATTGGACGGGAATAATAAGATGAGAATCATAACTACAGCTAAGGGGTAGGAGGCCAAGTGAGAAAATCTGCACATAATGCATAGGGAAGTGGTGGGTGAAAATTTAAAGGGGATGATGGGAGATGAGGGAAAGCCTTAGAGAAAAAGGATTAAGTAAGCTATTTGTGAGAAGATAGTCAAGAGAACTAGGGAGGTATGAGGATTATGTGCTAGGAAAAGGAGACAAATGTGGAAACTGTCCTAATTTCATGCGGATTTTAAGCATGTGGGTGAATCATTGTACCTTTGGAATTGATTAATTGGCTGCTATTATTCTAGGATGGGATGATTTCAATGAGCATTTGAAATTAGAGGCTGTTACCTTGATTACTATACACGTGTACTAAAGCCACAAGGGGCACTCTTTGAATATCTTCATATTGGGCAAAGTGGGAAATTCTGATGGAATTGTTTGTCTGAAGACTGTTCTAGTTGAATATACTGGGAAGAGAACAACTAACTAGTTAAAGTGGTATCTTAATGTTCTTCAGCTTTACTATTACACCAGAAGGCTAGGATGGAACGACTTCAGCGAGAACTTGAGATTCAAAAGAAAAAGCTGGATAAACTAAAAACAGAAGTCAATGAAATGGAGAATAATCTAACACGAAGGCGGCTGAAAAGATCAAATTCTGCTTCCCAAATTCCTTCAGTAAGTCAAAATTTCTGGAGGCTTTAAATATGTCATTAAACCCAGACCTTCATTTCAGAAAAGACTTGTTATGATGAAATAGAATATGCCTTGCACAGTTTGGAAGGGAAGACCAAATTTTATCTTTCATATTGTCAAACATATTTCATTTGACTTGTTCTTATGTCATACAGCTAATATTCTCTTATTACATTAAAAAAGGTAATATTTGTCTCCAAAGCTTTTGTTTCCCCATAGGACTACTAAGTTTTGTTTCTGCATATATGAAGTCAGTTAACCTGATTACACCATTTCCATATTTTTCAGCTTGAAGAAATGCAACAGTTAAGAAGTTGCAACAGACAACTTCAGATAGACATAGATTGCTTAACAAAAGAGATTGATCTTTTTCAAGCAAGAGGTACAGTATTATTAGCATGAATAATATTTTGACCATTCAGCTAAACAACATTGACGGTGTTTAGGAATTATGAATTTAGTGTGCAGTTCATCATTAGGTCATGTGCAGAGTACATTGGGCAGCAAGTGATCTCTATCATTCGCAGCATTCACTACTATTATAATAAAAACAAAGTGCCCGTCCATTCCCTCATTTTCATTGTGCCTGTTGTTTTGTAATTTAGTCTACTTACGTGTAAGGAGCAAATAAGCAGAGAACTTTTAAGAAAAATAGTGATAGTTTATAACTGTGCTGTGACACTAACCACCAAATCAGCACATATGTTAGGAATATGTTTACAGAGATAGCTTGATAAAATACCTATGCTTAGAGACTGTTATATTTGCTCACTGCCTCATACTAGGTGGCTTGATGACCACCAAAAAGGAATTTGTGTTGAGCGCCCTTTCTATTAAAGCAGCTTCAAAATGAGGAGTGTGTCTTTTAGTTTTACTGTCCTGTACACATTCCAGAGGGCAAGACATGAATTCAGTATAGGTATGGTACATACAGTTCTTTCCATATTCTAAATGCAACTTAGAAGCTCAGAAAGACTTTTGTAATGTTTCCTTTTTCTCATAGTCTAGAAACTAATTGGTTTATCGGGATTTTATGATAAAGTAATTGGAAAAACAGATTTTAAAAATTATTTTAGCATCTGGGACATGAATTGATTAATACTATACAAAGCCATGTGTAGTACTAAATATGACTGACTAGTCACCTCTCATGATTTGGGGGAAAATGTAATTGGACAGGATCATAGGTACTAGTTGCTATGTCCATAATCTGTGTTCTGAGCAGTTCTAACCTTGCCTTGTTATTATTTTACAGCACTATAGCAGAATCTGTAATGTTGCACATGACAAGCTTAGTTCATTTTGTTCCATGTCTTGGGGAGAGGTTTGAAAACCACTGCATTTCTTTATACTTATCTGAGGTTTAGTGAAAAATGTAAAAATTGCTTGCTTACCTTTTTGCTGGATTGTAACAGATCTCATTAGGTGACCTTTCCCTTAAAATAGAAGGCTCTAGGAATTGTTTCTCAGTGAAGATCATATGATCCTTCAGTGCTTAAGCTTTATTTGCCTTTTTGTACTTACTTTTCATTTTATTGTGCTGTGTGTTTCCTTCCCCCCCCAGGACCACATTTTAATCCCAGTGCCATTCACAATTTTTATGACAATATTGGATTTCTAGGTCCTGTGCCACCAAAGCCCAAAGGTAATAATAGTATAACTTTCTATCAAAATTCATTTGGATCTGGAATCAAAACATTGAATCCATTTACTGTAGTACATACTGTCAGTTATTCATAAAGTTAGTGCAAGTCTGTAGCATGTAAACTGTATCTGTTTACTGTATTTTCTTTCTATTGTTTACATAAACAGATTTATGGAAACTGTCCTTTGCATGTGCTGGATCACTAAATTTCCAGCCATTTTTAACGTATAGATAACAGGGTATTATGTAGGCTTATGTATAAGGAAGAATGCTGTTTTCTGGCTATTTAATGATGGATTAAATATTTAAAAATATAGTGGTGGAAAGAATCAAATTGCAACATAGTTCCAGCCTTTAGTACTTTCATTTTGCTATAGGGAAAGAGAAGAGAGAATTTACAGAATGTCCTCTCTTCTGCGATTCATTTTTAATAATTGTTTTTCTTCATCCCAGCAGATCAAAGGTCCATTGTCAAAACACCAAAGACTGTACCAGATATAGAGGAAGATGAGGGAGCTCCATGGAGTTGTACTGCTTGTACTTTTTTAAATCACCCAGCCTTAAATCGTTGTGAACAGTGTGAAATGCCCAGGCATTTCTGAGCCAGGGAGGCTCACTTATCTTCTGTAAATCCAGCTTTTGACTATTGAGTCATTTTCTTGGGATAAATAATCATTTATGCATAGGATTTTGTAAAATTGAACATGTGACAAGGTTTATTACTAAATTTAAATGTCATGCTACAGAGATAATACCTCAGTGTTGTGCTGCAGGCAGCTGAAATTCTTCAGCTGGAAGGTAATCTCCTGAAAGACTTGGTTGCCAGCTGCCTGAATAATGTACAGTATTACTAGAACCCCAGTAAGAATAACTCTCATCATGTTCAATGTTTGACTGTTCCCCAATCACCTTTGTCCACAGACGTCACTACTGAATTTTGGCAGGGGAAGGAATTGGATTGATTATAGCTTTTATTGTTATTTGTAAAGCTCTCAGTGAAACACTACATTCACCGAGGAAAAGGAAAGGAACATCCTGAATGTGTATTAGAACTCTTTGCTGCCATGTAGGTCCCGTGGATTGTAGTAGAGCCTCAGAAATTAGTGGTACTCTTCACTTTGTCTTCCCAGAAAACAGCTCTTCTCTGTGAAGATACAAATCAGTACATCTGTCTGAAAATGAAAAGTGCATGCTTTGTCTGTACAATATTCACAGTGAAATAGCCCCAAAGCTTTTCCTACTGTACATAGCTCTAGAGCCTGCTTTAAATTACTTACTTTTCTTCACCTTTTATTATTTCTTGTACTTCTTAATGTATAGCGTAATAGTCTTTGTTAACTTTCTTTTTCTGTTTAAGTGATTACGCACGATTGTGACCCTTTAAAAAAGCTTTTGATCTGAGAAAAGCAGTGCCTTAAAAGAAGATAATTAATGATAAACATTGCATCAAACAGCTCTCTACTGCCTATTCTATACATTGCTCTTATAAATGCTGATAATCTGTGAAGACCTGCAGATGCAGCATGGTAAAAATGCAGATGTTGGGAGTTTATGCATATAGTTCACTCTGTACACTGATTTTTACGGTGGGTGACACGATGCAATATTTTGTCTGGCACAAGAAAGAGAAGTTTTAAAAAGTTCAACCCACCAGCAGATCAGCATCTGAATATGCTTGCTTCATTTGCTGGATATCTTGCAAACTCTTTAAGAGGTAATTACTGGGGAAGTACATACTATATACAAAACAGCAGCAGTAGCAATAACATCCATACTACTTAATATTTTTGGCAGCCAAGTTCTAAACTTGATTTGGTGGAGAATAGCAATAATGAGGACAAGTTGAAGTGCAGGCTGGAAGAGAGAAACCAAGCAGACTTGAACACTGAAGCAATACCAAGCATCTCTTTATTTTCATGGCCTTGTTTGTTTTAAGGAAAAACATTCAGATGATCAGGAACACATTTAACAGAAACCAAGAACATTAGTAATTTTTAGAATATATATGTTCTCTTGTGTGCTACAAAAATCATGAGGTATCTCTGAGGGAAAAGCAGGATTAACAACCTAATCCTGTACATGTTGACTCAGAAGTAAGTCCCAGTGCATTCAGTGGGCTCATTCCCAGGAGAGTGGGTATAGGGTTGCATGCAAAATGTAGCAAGAGACAAAGTAAACTGTCACCCACTGTAAATACTTACCAGTGGACACTTTTAACAGGAGTTTTACAAGTGATCTATGTGAATACACAAAGGCCTTTGTTTTCAAAGGTTTCACATTCTTTTTAGAATATGGGAGGTAAAGGACCATCCCAAGTATTAAGTCAGTAGATCCAAAGTACTTGCATTGAATGCATTGTGTTTATAAAAATAAAAAGAAGCTTTGTTTTCAGCTTCATCTGCAGTTCTATGTGAAGATTGACAAATCAATTTTTACCTGTTTTATTAATAAAACCTAATTTGGATATCTTGAGTTGATGGTTTTGTGATTTAGCTGGGTAAACTGTCTTTGTAACAGATAAGTTATTTATAAAAATTAAAAAATATTGTAAAATTTGGTTTTGTGTCTTTTTAACTTATAAATGCAAACAAAATATTAATTGAGGTACATAAAATGTCTGATATTGTCTGTGCTGCAGCATTTTGTAAATATAGTGAGTTCTGAAGTAGACTTCAGACTTGCTTGTAAGAGGAGACATGCATATATAATTCTGAGATAGCTATTTCTTCTTCAAGAAACTATGGCCAAAATTAAATGATGTGGTTCTATATCCAATGGCTTTTTTCCACATCCAGCATAAACAGAATTGGGATTTCCTTCTCCTCCCCCTCCTATTGTAGCTCTCTACAGTGTGCAACACCTGTTTAAGAGGGAACAAAATATGTGATTTGTTAATATTATCTAAGACTGATGTGAAAATTGCAGGTGAGCTACTTCCGTGGCAAGCAGCTAGAATCTATAGACTACAGGTTAAACATAATAAATGAATAGATACTTCTTCGAATTTCATTGTTAGTGAATCTTGGCTGCTTTTTAAGCTAGTAGTATCAAGGTGTCCTGATACTTAGGTGTAAGGACATGTGCTTGTTTCTGGCCCCAATCCAGTATGTCCAGAGGAACAAGCAATTTGAGTTTTGTGTTAGCTGAAATTGATGTGAAAATATAAATGAGCCACTTCCTTTGGTTGTCAAATTATTAGAAATAGCACTGTCTGAGGATATAATGAAAGGAGTTGAGTTCACATGTGGCCGCCCTTCATGCAGAATATAAATGCATCATACATTCTTATCATTTATACATAGGAGCTTGAATTCCCATCATTATATAAATTGTTTGTGACCCAGATGGAAAATACCTCTATGCTCACTTTAGGCAGATTTGAGAAAGAATCGCTAAACAATATTGGGGTTATTGGGCTCTCCCTTTTCCTTGCCTGATACATTGGTTCTTATGAGAAGTCAGTCATTATTGATGACTTTGGGGAGCATTCTGTAACTCTAATTGTTGCTTCTGCCATAATGAAGTAACAGCCTTCTAACAAAGCTTGATGGCTTCATTATTTCAGATGTCAAGGATCAATAGGATTTCATTGGTGTTGCTGTTGCAGCTTATTCTACATACACATATTTTAGTACGGCCATTGGAGCGATAGTAACATGACTATTTTCTAGAATGAGAGCCATCAATAGACAACATTGCTACCACCAAATGCAAAGAATAGTGGCTGGCTTTATTCTTTATATAATGAAATCTGAGTTGGGAGAAACTCCAAAGATTGTCCAAAGCACAGGGTTTTAGTCTTACAAGGCCACATCATGAGAAGACAACCACGCACCGGAAAATACAGTAATGCTGAGAAATGTTAAAGGCAGTAGAAAAATAAGTACACGTAGTAGTATATGGCTTGGCTAAATAAATGAATCCACAACATTTAATTTGCAAGACCTGAGCAGAGCTGTTAATGACAGGATTTTTGGATGTCACAAATTCATAGGTTTATATTCAGTCTGAAGTGACTTGGTAGCCTATAACACAATAATCTGAACTTCCATTAAAATGGCCTTTCAGACCTGAAGTGGTTTGGAAAAAAATGAAGTTTAATAAAGTTAGCCTAAACAAATTACAAGCCTTCAAAATTATTGGATACTATGGATGTTGCATACAGCACAAATGAGCTTGGTGGCAACAAACTATCAATCACTTGTGGGGTTGTCAGTATCGGATAATGAGGCAAATGGCTGGTTTTATAATCAGGCATCAGAATATGAATTTATTCTACTTAGAATATTTCTAACCTGCCCAGTCTCGAAAGATCTTGGGAAAAGTTATGGAACTAGCCTGGCATTTTGATGCTAATGATAATAATAATAATAATAATTGTGTGCCATCACGTCAATTCTGACTTACAGCGACCCTTTTCAGGGTTTTCCCAGTACAGAATACTTGGAAGTGGTTTATCATTCCCTTCTTCTGGATGCACCTGGGACTGTACAGCTTGCCCGGGGCTACACAGGCTGTCTCTCTTCACGAACTCTTCAACTCTCTATAGAGAGATACCTAACTCACTGAAATATCCAGCATGATTTAATTTTTAAAAATAACTATAGAGAAATAACTGAATTCTACAGTCTTGACAACTGGATACTAAGCTGAGGTGAAGTGCCAGTTTGATGTGGACATGAAGCCAATGGTCACATCAATTGGGCCTCAACAAGGGAGGCTGTTTATTTCGTAAAGACGTTGTTCTCGGCCTAATTATAAAATGTATATCTGCCAATGGATACCTGAGAACTGTAGGTAAGAGATGTTAGAGAGGTTTCAGGCTAGTGGCATTCCACAAGCAATGTAGGGATCCCCATTTGTCATGGTTGCTAGAGGAGTGTTAATTTTGTTTGATTTTCCTGCGCTGAGATTAAAATGTCTAGAAAATGACGTCCTTGCATTCCATAGCTGTGCCATATACTAAGTATCGTGACATAGTTGGGCAGGAAATATTGTAACACCACTTTATCTCATGTCAAATTATGTTTCTATGAATGCAAAATGTATTTAGCTGGGCTATTTGTGGCAGAGCTTTGCAATATTTATTTACAGAATGTGATTATTCACATCTTAAAGGTTGTTGAATTTCTGGAATTTGGAATCAGAATTTTATTTGATGTTGATTTGTAATACAGTTCTGCTGCATATATTCACTTTGATTGGTAATTTTTAGTGGATTCTTTGAATTTTGCTTCAGTTTAAGTGTGTTATAGTTATGTAGTCTTAAGTGTGTTATAGAAATGCAGTCTTCACTCACTCAGTGTTACTTCTGATCATTATCCAGAATGTGAAATGCAGTTTTTAAGACTTGAGCACCCCTATATTTGGTTATGGCCTTGGTAGCATCTGTGCAAAAATACAATGGTGAGTCTCAGAAGTTGTAAGGTTATGTTTGTTGGGTGCAATTACCCCCCCAAAAAAAACCAAAGCATCCTCTATGTTTCTCCTTTGCACCCTGACTGTAATCACCTCATGGCCAGGAGGGCCGGAAACAGGGGTGGAGCCTCCCTACCCGGGAACAACAAACTTTCTAATTGGTCAGCATGTAAACAAACAAGCAAACAAATTAGTTTGTGTTGCAGGCCCTTCCCCTTTGAAATTTACATCTAGATTGCTTGACCATCCAACAGTTTTAAGACTTGAGCACCCCTATATTTGGTTATGGCCTTGGTAGCATCTGTGCAAAAATACAATGGTGAGTCTCAGAAGTTGTAAGGTTATGTTTGTTGGGTGCAATTACCCCCCCCAAAAAAACCAAAGCATCCTCTATGTTTCTCCTTTGCACCCTGACTGTATTGATATAAATTGTTCTATGCTGAAACGAGACAACCTAAGAGATCCAACACTCGTATTTTCATATATCAGTGTCAGGTTATTGAGTGGATTAGAGAGAAGAGAATCAAACCACTGCAAGAATATTGATCTTGTCTGATTTCAGAAGTTAAGCAGACTTGCCTAACTAGTATATGGATGGGGGACCGCCAGTGAATACCACAGAAAGAATTCTGACTGAAATCCTGGAAAGCTGCTGCCAGTTAGGTTCATAAAGCAAAGCATGCTGCTTATATGCTGTCTCATAGAGTTTAAGCACTCTCTGGGCAGTTTACAATTTAATTTTGCAGGCTACACATTGACTCCCCAGCAAGCTGGACCTTGATCCAGCAATTTGGGATTGAACCTGGGTTATGAGCAGGGTTTTGGCTGCAGTACTGCAGTTTAACCACTGCACTATGAGGCCTAGCGTTTGGCTCTATGGCCTAGCTGTCTTGACTCAGTAGGAGGCAGTCTCTTATGTAAGGACTTGCTACTTTTACATTAGACAAACCAACTAAGAAGTGTTTTGCACCTTGCTTAGTGGTTAATCTGGTATTCTCACAAGAGCCATTTTCTGTTTGGGCTGCTTACCTATACATAACAATAACCTCCTTTAGAGTTGGGCTAGAGCTTCAGCAGTATGTGGACCGAGAACTGCCAGAAGTACAAGCTGGATTTTGAAGGGGCAGAGGAACTAGGGACCAAATTGCTA